AGTATGAACTCTTTTCAATGAAGGAAAATGAGAAGATTGAGGAAATGTTTGAGAGATTCTCTAACATCATCAATCCTCTCAATCTTCTCGGGAAGACATACACCGACCGAGAGCTCGTGAGAAAGGTGCTGCGAAGCCTATCCCCCAAATGGCGTTCAAAGGTGGACGCAATCGAAGAAGGTCGTGACTTCCAAACAACAACATATGATGCTCTTCGAGGTAATCTTATTACCTTCGAAACCACCCAACTCTCAAAGGTGGTTGAAGAGAGGAACAAGAGGTCTATTGCTCTACCCGCAACAACAACAACCCACAACAACGTTGATGATGAAGATGATGACAGCGACGAAACCGACCTCGGACTCTTTGTCCGAAAATTCAAGAAGATGATGCTCAAGAAGGGAGCCAAGAAGAACACTCCACCCAAATGCTATGGGTGTGGTGAAATTGGACACATCAAACCAATGTGCCCAAAGCTCAAAAACGAGAAGGACAAGAGGGCACCGAAGAAGCAACGTGTAACGCTCCAAAACATGGTCCAAAAGTTATTCTATAATAAAAGTAGTTTAAAAATATTATTTTGACCCAACAAAACATTATTTCTATGTTTGACCAAAAATAAAGGAATTTTTGAAGTCAATGATTTTTTTTGTTAAGATTGACTTTTTATGAATAGGTCTCGAAGAGATGAAACCAACGATATATTTTATGAACAAATCTAATTTACGGATTTTGAGTTGTGACATTTTAAATATGTAATTTGCATAAAAAAATGAGTAGTTGTCAAAGATATGAACTTTTGTAAAATGATATATTGAAATAAATTATTTAAATTGAATAATATTGATTGAATATGAGAGCACTTTTAATTGTATGTCAATTAATTCAATTTTGACTTTGTCAAAGTCAACAGCCAAAAATATAGTGTCATAAAAAGTATTCCAAAAAAATGTGAAAATTATATTGTTGCGTAGAACTTGACTGTCTGAACGTAATGGTACAATCAAATTTAAATTCAGATAAAGTTGGACAAAAAAATGTACCCTGATTGGGAACATTTTAGTCCCAATCAGGGACAGACGTGAAATCTCCAAATATCAGCCGCCTAGTCCACTACGAAGCATGGATTGGATAATTAGGCACCAAAACCATAAAACTCTTTCTTCATTCTTGGCCTATTTAAGGAGGTTGCATCTTCTTCAAATCTCCATCATTCTCTCCCATTTTTTTCTATTCTACTCCTTGTTGTATGGAGAACAATCCGCAAGTGATCGCCGCTG